TGTAACGACCACCTCTTTGAAGGTGGGCATGCGTTTCAAAATAAAAAAGCCATCATGATTAAGGCCATGAGGCTGGATGGTCGTATGTAACGACCACCTCTTTGAAGGTGGACATGCGTGCAGGAAAAAATCTATCATGATTAGGGCCACGAGGATCGGTGGTCGTATGTTATGACCACCCGTGAGAACGTGGGCAGGTGTTCACGGCAGAAAGCTCGTCATGATGGAGATCATGGTACAATTACACGGAAAGAACAAATTGCAAGAAGGAATATATGTTTGAAAGAACAAACACACCGAAGCAAATCATCACAAACATAGAAAAAGATAGAAAAAACAACAACGAAACAACAACAATCCAAAACACTTCCATTCAAAGAAGATCGTGAGTTCGTGAAAAGTACACACAATACAGAAATTCAGTTGGATACAAATGCAAACTAGAAAATACAATATTATTCTACGGAGGAGGAGGGGCAGCGGTCGAGTCAGCGTTGCTCGAGTAGGCGTTGGGATCGATCTGGTGACCAGTGCCAGAGGTCGAGTCGCAGACATCATTAAGTGGGCATCGCCGAATAGACTCAGCCATTGCGACCAACATGGCAGCTGGGGGAGTAGCATCATCGGGCAGAGCAAAGGTTTTCTTTAATATCTCCGATCGACCTAGGGTTCTTTCGAGCTGACCCGACCACCACTCATGCTCGAGCGGTAGAGCAGGATCTCCGTGAAAGTTAGAGGGAACTTTTGGTAAAGCATCCCATATAACCCCGGGGTCGAGCTGCTCAAAATCATCCTCGGCGATCTGCTCGCCAGCTTTCTGGAGGGCGAACTGAAAGCAATCTACCCCGAAGTCTTGAACCTCCTTAAAAAATTGGGGCGACTGCATGAAGTCAGCCACCACTTGTGCACGATGCTCTCGGAGGAAGAGCTACCCAGTCGTGGTTGCCCAAAGCATCTGCCTAGCCCGAAGGGCAGTGACGTTTGCGTATCTTTGCTTCTCTTCAGCATGGGCAGCCCTCTCTTTGGCCAGAGTGGCCTCCAGTTCAGCCCGAGAAGTCTCCACCTTGGCCAGTGCCGTCTCAGCCCGAACTCGGGCAGCCTCGGCCTGCTCTCGAGCAGCCTCGGCTTGTGCTCGAGCGGTCTCCACTTCTGATCGAGCAATTCGCTCCTGCTCGAGCACGCCCTCCTTTTCCTTTAAGGCAGCGTCCTTCTCCGCAGCCGCCACCTCCTTAGCTGCAAGAGCAGCATCCTTTTCCACGAGAGCCTTGCTTTTATTGCTGAGCTCTTCATCAAGGGACCGAAGCTTTACGTCGAACTCAGCTTTTTGCTCTACTTGGGCCTCGCGGAGCTGGGAATTATGCTTCACGAGAGTGGAGTTCTTATCCTGCAAGAACCTGATGGTGCTCTCAAGGCTTCTCAAGGATTTCCCAGAGCTGTCGCGAGCTTCTTGCGCCGTAGGCAAAAATTGGACCAAGCCCTATCACCAGTAAAGAGGGCACAGTTCAAAGTTGATGCAACGCGTGAAACATAGGAAAGAAGACAACAGGAAGCAAGGGAAACAATACCTGGGCCATCCACTGCACAAACTGATCTCCGAACTCAGGCAGCGTGGGGCCGAGCTTTTTCCGGTCGTCCTCGAGGAGAGCACCCTCGAGGCGCTCGACCACTTCGTTTGTGGACGCCGACAGGAAGGACGTCGGCTTTAGAGCCAGAGGGTCGGGGGGAAGATAACTGTCACGACCCCGTTTCCAGACGACCGCACCTTGATCGGTGCGGGACCGTTTGCCCAGCACGGTATCAGCCTTGCTGCCAGACTCGACTAGCGCCTTGGTCGAGCCGGCAGATTGGGTCTTGAGGGATTGTTGGTCGAGAGGAGGTTTCTCTGGAACTGAGGTTTTGGTTGAGGAGTGGAGCTCGGGAGACTTATCTAGGGTTTTGGAAGGAACAGAGTCTTTGAGAGGGGGAGCTCGACGGTCGATTTTCTGACGATTGTCGACCTTCTGGCGATCATCAGTCCTGTGTGAGCGGTCGTCGATTTGATGTTGACGATCAGGGGTCTTTCGGCGGTCGTCAGATTTATGTTGGTGATCGACAATTTTCTGACGATCATCGACCTTAGAGGTGGTCGAGGACTTGGTGGTTGAGGAGGAAATGGATTTGGGTTGAGGGTTCTTGGAAGTTTGCCCCAGCTGCTTCGGCGGTGGAGGAGGCTGCTTCCCGGGTTGTTGCAGCTGTTGCGGCTGTGGAGGTTGCTTCTCGGGTTGATGTTGCACCCCCTTGGGTGGTGGTGGAGGAGGCGGCAGAGTCTGCCGTGGTGGCGATCGCGGAGGCGGCTCTGGTCGAGAGCCACCCGAGCTAGCGGACCCATCGGCCTTGTCGTTGCTCGACCCAGCGACAGTCCCCGATTTTTTCTTCAGAGGGGTCTTCCTCGGTGGGATGTTGAAGCTGGGCACCTCTGCGGAAAAATCGTAATATAGATCAGATGCAAGGT